ATAAAGGTAAAAACATTGTAGGCTATACGCTTATACAAACTTTCACGGGTAGGTTGTACTGTAAGGATTCCGAGTTGAATACAAGCCAAAGTCTATTCCACTTGGAACTTCCATTGTCTCGTAAAAACCGCTCGTTAACGCCTTTAACATCAGGAGCATCTTTTTCGACTTGCAAATTAATAATTACAGTCGCCCGACCCAGTGGCAACTATGTGCTTGATTTTTGCATTGTAATAATTTTAATTATCTTAACGGTTAAAACTTAAATAGACGTTAATGTAATGAACTCATCTTTTTTACGCTTTTCAAAAATATACGCCTAATTTATATCTAATTGTAAATTACTGATGGCCAGCTGTCATGTCAATATACTAGTAGTCAATAAATGTCTTACAATATTTGTAAAATAAATTATGCATTACAAATTGTCTATGAATAATAATTAACAAAATATTTCTTTAATTTCTATTCAACTAATTGAAACTTGTTAGGATGTTAAAAACGCATAAAAATAATTGTTCTTAGGTTAATTAATATTTTTCTCATGTGGATTGGAAAAATCATTATGCAAATGAAGCACCATTTAGATAATTATTTGATTTGTAGGTTTTTTAATTTAAAGCTAATAGTTAAACAAAATATAACAAGTTTTATCGATAAAATTCGTCAGTATTTATTATAATATAATGAATATATTATATTCGTAATAGCTTATGAAATGACAACGTATAATAATAGAGTTTTGATCGATGAAATTTAATTAGAGCATACCATTTGGAATTATAAAATACCATTTCATCTATATAAATTTGTTTTTGAATTAGTAAATACGTTAAAAATAAAACAAATATAAATAAATAATAAAAAACTATCATTAAAAATATATTTTTTCGATTTTTAATAAGATTTATTTTTTAGATGATAAAACATTAAGAAACTTGACACTTCAATTCTTAGATTTTTAGATAAATATATCAGGTTTTTTCATTCATTTTCATTGTGTTTCTGTGTTCTCGTTAAATCACTTTATTAATCTTTATGAGTTTTTTAATCCTAATTTATGATCCATGACGTTAAATATTTAATTACGTCGCAATGAATACTATCAACCTGTATTTCTAATTCGGTCGTCAGAAAAAAACATTTGATATAAAAAGAGTCGGAAGAATTCAAATCATAAGAATGTTGTCTCGTCTAACCTGCGTTGTAACGTTACTCTAATACCAAATGTTCAGATTTCATTCTGCTATTAATATTTAAATTTGTAAATTCAGATGAAGAAACAAATAATTTGATACCCTGAGAAAATTGCCCATTTTTCGAGTGTTAGACAATACTGAAATTGTAAAAATAGATTTAATCGAAACGACCACGAATATGATTTACCTGTATAAATACACATTGAGGGTATAAAATAAAATGGCTAGAAAAACAAGCACAATAACAAGGTAAGTGAAACGAAATTATCGTATACAAATAGATCAAGTGCACGAAATACGAGCGCAATAACTTGTAACAGACTTTACCGAATGAAAACTTAAGTCGTTTGTTGAAAACAATTTAAACTTTTCACTGCGGTGGAGTTCACTCGCTCAAATTTCGACCGACCAAGACGTTACTGACTTTACAAATTTACAAACCATATCATAAACCGTCACGTTCAGCGTGCTCATAAATTTATTATTATTTTTAATGAACTTTGGTAAGATCTAATAAAACATAAATATCGTCTAACTCAGCTGTGATCTGCTTCATTATCTTGAATTATATTTTATTAGTTTTTATGATCATTTTTTTTTTTAATCGTTATGCTATTAAGAATATTGAAATAATCTCTTGTGTAAATGAACAAAGAAAAAAGTGATATCATTTACAAAATAATTAACAATTTTACAATGACAAAAAAAAAAACATGTGCGTTTGCTCTCGATCAAATCCAATTAGTTTGTCAAACTTATCAAGAACCTGATTAAATCGTATAAAAAATAAACTCCAAAAATAACATTTGTCTACGTCATTACATCAAACACAGTGAGATAACTAAACACAGCTCTGTGGTATTATAAAATGTACATTATCCCCAACAGATGAGCATAGTTGTACTGAAAAGCCCAGAGAACCATAAAAATAATATGGCAGCCATGGTGATTATTTCGTGCAGTTTAAACAACAACTGGGGAATATGAAAATAATGATTGTTGCGTTCAAGTCTCGCATGAAAAGTTTTTAAAACTTTATGTAAACTCATGTAGATTTACACACATGTCTGCCTCGACGGCTTTGTCAACTTTTTAAATTTGAATATTTGAGTAAAATATTGTAATGAGCGGGCAAGTGTTTGGATAGGAATATCAGGTATGGCAAAGTACAAACTATTAGTGTTATGTAAAAGGACTGGCGTGCATGTCTTACAATATTTTAGAAATACCAAACGCTCTTTTACAGATATAAATTTATCCAAATAGACAAAATAAAAAAGATGATGATATTTTTAACGTACGGCTGTATTTGAATAAGTCTATTATAATTCAAACTAAACATTTTTTCAATAATCATTTTCAATTTGATTGCTTTTTTTTTTTTATTGTGACATATACTATTATGTGAAATCCTTTGCCCGTCAATGTTAATAGTCTAGTTCTATTATTTAAAGCAAATAAAATTATTTTTTTAAGTGATTTCATTCCGATCTCATAAAAATATATTGACATTCTATATCCTATAAAAGAGTAATATTGTACACCAAATGTTGTACATTATAAAATATCAGTTCGCATTGAAAGCAATAAACGATAAAAAAAGAGAAAAATTGTGTCAGTTATTGTTACCCATTTGGCCGACTCTATCAAATCTCTCAGTGGTGCCAAAAATTTTTTCGCGCTCGATTAGATAATTCACCCGACGCCTCTACTTCCTCGTAAACACACAATCGGTGAAAATCTTACTGAAAACGCATTGACACTCGTATATTTATCCGAGTTTGAGTCTTCCCATGGCGCCATTAGCGACTAAGTGTGATTTTATGTGTTTTCTATTTTGTCGATACGTTCTGTGCGGGTGTTTATTTTATTAAGTTTTTAAATACATATTTTTATAAGGTCATGGAGTTGTCAGAGTCTCAATAACCGCAGTTTTTAATATTCTTATGTAAACGTCTTACGTAAAATGCAAAAAAAAAAAATAACTGTCGCTTATAAATCAACAGCAGGTAAATACTCATAAGTAATTCAAAACTATATTTTAATTGTTCGAGACGTTTACGTTACACGCAAATTGGACAATTTATTGCTGTTGTTCCGCATAAACTGTCGTGTTAGAACGACAAACCGAAAACTTTATCGTGGTCCGGTTACTCGAACTGTGTTGCTTAATATTTGACTTGGATAGCAACTGCGGGGGGGCTAAGAGTGGTCATTTTTCCAACCGGCATACCGAGAAACCTTTCATAATTTATAGTTTACCACGTAGATTCCCACGAAAGGAGGTGACTATTTTAATAAATAAGTAATAAAGTGTATTATGTATGTACTTACCGCAGTTAGTGTTTTGACGTCTCTGATAGTATCTCGACCTCAGCTAAAGGGTTCAGTGTTTATCAGCAGACAAACCTGTAACGATACCGTAAATAGTTTGTTATAGTTTCGATCGATACAAGTTCAGCTATTTCGCTTTATGATTTCCGGAAAATAATGTATTTATGTAATTTAAACACGACCAATACGTGGTTAAGAGAAAGCAGCTGTGGGTGACCAACTCGGGGGAAAAAAACATGTGCTTAACAATGTCTCGTATGAATGTGAGCGCAACGTTTAATCGTGTGTTGCATGCGCTTTTTATGGCTGTCTGTTGCAGCGTGTAGTAATTCGATTACGATTTTGAGGAAACGTTGTTGCGAATAAAATGTAATTTAATGTTTTATTTTCAGTGAACGCGTCTTCCCGTGTAATGTGCTCGGCGCATTTGTGTCGAGAGAGGGCGGCGGTCAAAAGAGTCTTTAAAAGTAATATCAATTATAATAATGCTCGTATTATTCTTGTGCATACACTGAACGCTGTGTAATAATAACGTTTAAGCAGAATACTATCATGAATAACACAATATGAGAAAAAGAAATGTGGACCGAGTATTGTTCGGTCGATTGTACGCACAGTCGTTTATCGTTGGGGTCGTTTATTGTGTCTGTGTGTTTTGACTAGAGGTATGAAAAATGTCAAATCGGCACGAACGTTCACTGCATTTCTATTTTTCTCGCTCAATGCAATGATAATAAATGATTTGAACGTTACCAAAATTGGACCTTATGTATAATAAAATAATGAAAAGAGACTATGGTTTGTTTTAGTTATTACTAATAAGTCCTTATGAGTTACTGTAATCAATTTCCTTTAAATTTTTAAGTAAATATCAGTAGCGTACATTTTTTACAATGTTATAAACAACAATAATAAACTATAAGTTGGGAGTTTCAAATTTAAAACGACATGTTTCTACCGACTACGTTCAGTGTGATTTACTATAAGAATAAAAAGGAGTCTTCCCATATTACTATGAGTAATTTGGTGACAAAGCGAACCCAATGACTTTATTGGAATAAATCACGAACGTTTGAAACATGTGGAATTATTTACCCGTCGAATAAAATAACTTTGGAACTCTGCAGTCGCTCGTGGATATGTAATAACATAATAAATGGACTGTTTGCCAAAGCCAAAACGAAAGAGAGGTAGGTATATGACGGTGTACTCCAATAATAACAAAAGAGCAAAAGTAGTAAATCACTGGGGACAACTATAAACGTATATATTATATTGCACTGTGACTTTTTGATGAGAAAAAGTTCCCCTGGAAAAAATGAACCAATAAAAGTTAGATTCTTTTATTCTCGATCATCAATAGTTTTCAAATATAATTCATTTTCGGTGGTGACAAACTCGCAATCAATTTATTATGAGATTCCTCTGGCAGAATCGCTTTATTAAATTGTATTATTTTTTTTTCAGATGAAACGTGCGCTCGACTGAATTCATATCGGAAAAATTATTTTCACAATTCAATATACATACGAGGCCTTCATTTCTCTAATGTAATAGACAAACCTATAATATTGTTATTTTTTTTTTAAATTCTTTTATTACTGTAAAATAACATAAAAAAATCAAAAGTTTTCAGAAATAAAGTTAAAGTCTAGAAAAAATAACATTTAATGCCTCGAGAACTAACACGGTGGCTTATTATACGATCACTATGGCAACATAACGAGTCGTTAAGCTTCCTTAAACAGAACAAATACAAAACCATTTCTTCTCTGAATTGGCTGAATTAGGTAGCTTTCATGAATTAAATAGCTTCTCGGCTTTGAGTCAAAGCCTGTAAAGTATATAAACTGATATATATTTTTTGTTGAAATGTCGTTTTAAATGAATAATATCAGTTGTAACCTTAGACTAGTACTATGAAACCCATTTTACCACAATTTTATATTTTTGTGTAAAACAGTTGATATTGATACGATACTGTCACGCACATCGTGCAATTTCAAAAGGTTAATAGACATATTTGACATACGTGTAAATAGTTGCATATGATGTCATGAAAGGGTCAAAGTCTTAATATGCTAAGAAGAGACTAGGATGTAAAAGAAATTATTTAGAATTACTACTGAATAGTTTTTAAGTGAAGCTGAGTCAAATAGGTTTGACTTGTACCTTGGAGTTTTAAGTACTTCACAGTGGGACAACCCTCTAGTATTGGAATAATATAATAATGAAAAAGAATAAAGGTCTGGAAACATCTTTACCTTTTGTCACATTGTTATCTTAAGTGGAAATAACACGTCAAAAATCAAAATGCATTACTTGCAATGCGTCAACCTCCTAAACGTTGAAATATTTAACAATGGCGGAACGCACCTCTGTTAATACTATTATTTTTAAATTCTTTGTAAAATTTTCAAAATTGAAGTAAAATTCAGTTATTACGAAAAATATTTTAAACGATTTAAAAATTCAATTATAAGTGATATTTTGATTATAATATTTTATAGTGTTTTTATTATATATATATATATATTATCGTATTGTGCAAAGCTTTTGATAAGCTCATGTTGAAATTCTGTAAAGAAGAGATTTTGTACTAAGTCTCTCAATTTGGTTTATATGTGCAATGCTTCTTTAGTAAGTCCTTTACAATCTCAGCTGCCAAAGATATATTGTATTATGAATTATTATGGATCTTAAGTGCACACCCTGCCAGCTACTTTTTACCTAACATTCATGTTATTCATATTAAAGATATAGCACACAATGAACCTATTTATTATTCACAGATAGAATATTTGACAATATTGCCTAAAGTATTATGAAATTTAAAAATATATTGAAATATTAAAATGAAAAACGTTAGTGAAACTCTATTGAATCGTTTACTCGTCCGCCCGAGTGTAATATCAATGAATAATTAAAATATAAATAAAAAATTGTTTGATTGCATGAAACACCGTAATGCTGTATAACATGAGCTATAGCATGTTGCTGTGTGATTATTATTTTTATTTTGTAATCAATCTCTGTACTATGGTATGTCCTGGTCAGCTAGTTGAACATGTGGGAATGATTAGTGTGTTTACACGGTTAAATTTGCATACGGTAGTTGTTGGTTTAAGTTCATTTAAAAATAATTTATACTCATATTATTATTGTTAATATATAAATACCACAGCGTGTGAAACGGTTTATTTTGTTGGGAGGTGTTTTTTTCTCTGTTCTTTGGGCTCAATGGCTACGACGACCGTGACATGAAAAATATTACACAGCTATTCTTCTACCAGGACACTCGACGTCAGCGGGACATTTATTTGAAATTTCATGGGAGGTCTAGTCTTGTATAAACACACAAAACACAAACGGATGTACTAAGAGTCACTCGGAGAAATAATGATATTGTAATAAATGAAAAAATAAGGAGACACATGTATATACATAAGAGTCTGCGTTTAACGTGTGTTTGGAAATATTATGTAGGTATGAAATTCGGTAGCACAATAAAATGACAATGCGTCCGCGCCACCCAAAAATCCTAAGTAAACACCAGCTGAAGCTCCCCCCGGACGAACAGTCCTTTACACCGACAAACGACTTCATTTTCACGAGAAAGCAAAACCGCCTCGGAGACAATAAATTTTCACGGTACCCGGAATTTTATGCCATCACAACCGGGTCAAAAGATGCAATTTCATTGTTACCACTTGTGTCACGTGTCAGTGAAAAAAAATTATTATTTTTTACTTTGAATCTCCGTCTAATGATTATTCCGTTATAAAAGAATTCCATTACATTATAAAATAATTGAGTAACTTCGCTTAGACAGCCAAGGTGAACTGAAAAATGTTTATGGTCGCTTTTCGGATTATCATTTAATTTGTTAACTTTTTACAGAAGAAATAACATTAATGAAGTCGTTATAAATAGCGAAAATTAATCTTTCGAATAAAATATTATATTTATAAATAAATTATAATTCACGTTAAAGAAAGTCATAATTTTTACATTTCAATATTATTAGGTTCAATGAATTTTTGTATGTTTAATCAATTTTATTTAGTTAATATTGGAAGTAACAATTAAATTCTGAAAATTTATATTTTTTGGGATATCTTTTAGACATATGGTTTGGTTTGGTTAAAGGGTGTCAAATTTATATTTTTAAATGTGTATAATCAACAAGCTTTATTAGATAACGATTTAGTTAAGGAAATAACTGATCGACAAAAACTTTTGGACAAATACTTCGGAAATCATTAATATTTTTATGTATAGGCGGAAGAAATATAGTCATCACTATAAAGGTTTAAGAAATGAACATAATGAACACAAGTTGAAAAAAAAACATCAATCTAAAAGAAACCTAAAAAAAGTTATCAAAATTATTTTTATTTCAACGAGAAATAATGGTTAATTAAATTTTGATGATCCAGTAATTTTAGCAGTTCAACAGTACTTATAATTATATTATGTTCAGTTGAATAATATGGATGTTAGGTAAACAACTGGTTGTCTGATGATTAATTATGTTTTAAAATAACATAATATAATTATGGTTTTCACGTTTCGAGATTATGAGACAGAGATGAATAGATAAATGAGAAAACGTTTTGGACGGCATCATCCTGCTTCATAATATTACTCTGTTTACTTAAAGATATTATAAATTAAGTGTTGGGGTTGAGAAAATGAATTCTTTACAACGAGTAGTGTATAAAAAATATTCAAAACATCTAGTTTTTAATTAAAAACGAAATTGAGTTTTGATTAACTAAGATACTTTTATATACTAAAATAATATACTCAGCAATTAAAAATGTATTAATTCAAAATTAATGTATTTTTAAACAGGATATACTTTTTAAATAAAGGATCTACTAAATTTACGCGTAATTCCATTTTTATTTCAATGTTTATATTAAATATTATTATCTAATATTTATCTTATCCACTTTTATTTCCTAATATATCTAATTACGTAAATCGTTAAAATCGTATTGAAAGAATTTTATTTTTTTTAATTAAAAATATTCCACGATATGTGAAGTATTTTGAGATGCAACTGAAGTTGCATTACTGTAGTCTAAGTAGTGACCTATATTATTAAGTAGTTTTGTATGGGTTCAAGCATCATTACATAACATATATTATTTAAATTACTTTTTATGATAAATTACTAAGATATAAATACACAAGAGCCGAGAGTTACCTACCCAAAAGGTGTTGGTTGTTATGGTTTAAGAAAAACCTGTATTTTTGATAAAAGTGTTAAATAATATAGTACATTATAACATACAAAAAGTTCCAGTAGCATATTTTTAAAAATTTATATCTTTTTTATACTTATTGTGAAATGCATTTTTTATTAAACAATTTTTTTTTACAGATGAATGAAATCGTTTCACTTAATTTTTTGTTATTATCAAATTATGTTTAAGTAAAATTACATTATTTTTAATTTAAATATTTCTAGTAAAACCAAATGATAGACTTGATTGTGAATGAAATTTTGTAATGGTCTTTAAATTCATTTGTTTGATCTTAAAAAAATAGTTTTCTTGTTATTTTATGTGTGTGTGTGTGATATTTATGTTCAATTCTCCTTAATCATACTAACTATGTTAATTTTGATTTAACGTTTTCCTTCGGGCGTAGCTCAAGTTTAAACTTAATGAACGGAAGGATGAAGTGGATTATTTCATTCCTCGAGAGGAAAGTTTACGATCGAATAACTCTGCCCAAACCGCACTGTTCAAATAAACCAAATTCACTTTGCGAGCAAGACATTCTTCATTCCAATAATGCATCAGTTACATTACTGCTCGACTGTGGTGGTCGACCCTTTTGCAATTTTCTCGATTTTAATCATAAGTAATAATTCTAACACAACCATTTCAAGATAGGCCTCATTCCGATGTCGATGTTGACCTTTAGTATATTTGACGAAATTGTCTACTCGTGTTACAAAAAGGAAAGTTTTTAATAGAACTGTATTTTGTTCAAAACCTACTAATCAAGTTACGGGTTGCGAAGAATGTTTCTTTAATTTTTAGTGAGATTTAAGAGTTTTCTCGGCTTAATTACTTTACTAAAACAACTTAACGCTTTAGTTATTTCCTGACACACGGTCATTAATTACAATTTGAGTAATCGAAACGATGTACAATAAACGTTATTGAGCTCTTAACGAGTCTCGCGGTGATTGTTGACTGGAGTTTATTATTTGTTTTTCTTTTCAGAAGTTATGGTCGGCGGGGCTGCGTGGCCGTGGAACCGGACGGTACATTGGTTTGGTACTCGAGCAAGTGCAGTATGAAGTCGATTGGAAATAGATCTCCGGGGATGTTTGTGAATGCTGTCCAAGTAATATTGAAACTTGGAGTTAACAACGGCAACACGCGTCTAGAGAGGAATTTGTGTGTTTTTTCCCAGCTTTGGTCCAATCTACTGTGCCGACGTGATGGTGAAACCAGCAGAGCCGGAGGAGAGTAGAAACAAAAGGTCGTTTTGAAAAGTTCGCACTTATTTCTATCCAAACCTCTCGGTTCTCTTTTTGTTTCTGTATCCTTCTATTATGCCTTTTGGTTCAGCGCTTAAATAATTTATATACTTGCGCCGTTGTTACCGTTTAAATTTTCACTGAAAGTATAATGCCGCGATCTAACTCTTATTCTCGTTATTACCTCTCAATAGTTCGCATCGATAGATAATCAAGATCGCCATTTTAATAGTTACACACTTGGCGCACTATTTCAGCTTTCATTTATTTCGCCAATTCCAATTTTAACATTGACGAAAACTTAGAAACAAATTATCATTTGGTAAGCTATTAACTAAGATTTTTTTTTAATTGAAAAATATTTCAAAAATCAAATCTCGTATTAGTTCTTACTACGCGGGTATAAATAATAATTTGTTAAGTCAGCATTTTCTTTAGTTTCGAATGATTTTATCACAAAACAATCAGTTATTGTTTATTTTCGAAACTTAACTTTACATTAAAATACGTTTTTATTTTATCGGTAAAACCACACGGAGTGTAAACTCATTTAAAGAATTCATATTATATTTCAGTATAAAAAGGATCGTAAAATTTTTTTTTTTCTATGTTCTATGAACAATAAAATGTAAATAGTACACACAAAACGTTTTTGGATCGTTAAATATTGTTGTGATTTTAGACATTTTATTGCTTTATAAAACAGAATGAATGGCTGCTATTGTCTCGAATAGTATTGAAAACAATTTACATTTATTTTCAATTTCTTTTTAAGATTAATTGTTTAAATCGCAATGCATCTTAAATACTTGACGTTTACAAATTGAAAATATATAACTGTTAACTCTACATCGTGTTGT